CCCGACTGGAAGCTGACTTTAGTGACCAACCACCAAGTATCCCTGCAGTGCCCAACCACCACGTATCCCTGCAGTGCCCAACTGCAAAGTATCCCTGCAGTGCCCAACCACTAAGTATCCCTGCAGTGCCCAACCAGCAAGTATCCCTGCAGTGCCCAACCACCAAGTATCCCTGCAGTGCCCAACCGCAGAGTATGTCTGCAGTGCCCAACCGCAGAGTATCAATATTCTTGCAGCGCATTTACAGTGCTGCAAGGAAGACAGTTGCCAGGGGGAGGGAACGTTATATACACTTCTCGTGCAATGAAATGACGGCTTTAGAGTGGGGGTGCTCGAAGTAAATATTTCCATGCTAAGCACCAGGAAGCAGAGGAGGACGACGAGGCCGCACTTCGTGAAGTTGAGCCACGAGGTGAGAAGTCACAGGCCGAGTCAGTGGCAGAGAGTGCAGAGGACCTTGAACTGATCATCATATTTGGACATCAATTCTACTAATTATAAAAACAATAGAGGAATTATTAATGGTTACTATACATTTTGCAATACTAATGATAATAATAACAATAATAGTAGTGGTAGTATTCGTCATAATTATGAGCATAGCCGAAGCCATCATTCTTATCAGAATGCTGGGTTGTCGCCGTGATTGTTGTCATGCGGTTGTTCGGCTGCTTTGATTGATGCTCTTGTTACGTTCAATCTCATCTCGGTTACTCAATGTTCTCTTTGTTGCCGTGTTTTTGTGACTCTCATCCTGGATTTGATGGTCTTCCCTACCCTAAACCCTGAATCCTGAACCCCTTAAGTTGGGCTAGTGCCAGGACCAAGCCGGCGATGTCTCTCAGGAAGTGAAGGACTTGGAAGAGAAGCAGGACGAGCCGAGCCTCAAAACCCAGGGCCACGAGTGAGAAGGTTGAACTCAACTACAGGCATGACAAAGCCCGAGCATTTGTTTGAGGATCTTCCCACATGTTCAACATGTATTATCGCAACCCTACACAAGGAGGCAGAGGAGGAAGAGGCGGAAGAGGAGGAACAGGCGCCAGAGGTGGAACCGGCGGAAGTGGAGGAAGCTGAAGAACCGGAGGACATGCCAGATGAAGACATAGTTCCTAGGCATGTTTGGCTCAACCCTTTCCTGCATGGCCAGTGGCGGAAAACCATGTTAAGTTGAGACATGCTGTGACCCCCTTTTCAGCTTGCAGAATGAAAAAACTTTGTAGCCAATGCTGTGAGATCCATTTTGCATTCTGATGGGATGGAGGGTTGAGTTAAGAGTTCGTGGGGCTTTGGACTTAAAGTTCAGGAGTTCGTGGTCGAAGGGCCTGTCAGAGGCCTCAACCCGAAGGTGCAGCTCAAAGCCAGAGGAGTTCCCAAATTATGAGGCTCCTTTTATGAGGCTCCTTTTTCAAGTAACCTAATTCACACGGGTGTATTGGGGATTTGTTCTAAGGGGAAACCCAGAGGCATAACACTTGTACCGTCCCGGAGAGGCACGTCCCTGCCAATTCCATGAGTGACAGGCGTGCCACCCAAGTATGGGCTATCGTTCTGCAGAAGTGTCACTAGGGTGGATGACCACTCCACGTGACATAGATTCATTGTACTACTGGCTCGGAGTCAAGCATGATGTGCGCTACTGTCAATCTTAGCATTACTCAGGGGACCCTTTCAAGGTGGACCTAGGGAATCCTAGGGGTCTCTCTTGTAGTTTACTATTGTTGCCCTTAAATGTACTCCCTAATAGGGAACCCATGTACATCAAATTAGGTAGGAAAAATGGACTGTAGCGCATGTGAAAAAATATGTCACCGGAGCCACTGCATGCAGCCAATTGCGAATCCCTGAACTTCAGCCCACAGTCTGCCAGACCCTGAGCTCTACCAAGGATGCTCCTGCTGAAAATGGGCAGGGCTCGCAACGTGGAGAGGAGGCAGAGGAGGCAGAGGAGGCAGAGGAGGCAGAGGAGGCAGAGGAGGCAGAGGAGGCAGAGGAGGAAGAGGAGGAAGAGGAGGAAGAGGAGGCGGAGGAGGCGGAGGAGGGCGAGGAAGTGGAAGACAATCGAGGCCTTGCCCTGCATTGCCAGCTAGAGGATGTGAGCTTCTTGATGCGAGATTTGCATGTGAGCAGTTGCAATTTAAGTTGTTGAGATGCTTTAGGTCTCTGCCGAGGGTCTACTGTTGCCCAGTGGGCCAGCATGGCCTTTATCATAAGAGTTATCATTGATGTCCAACCTTTGATCGAGGCATTGAAGGATTGGAGGGTGGCAGAAGTGAAAGCTCAGATGCAGAGTAAATGGAGCCCACAACCAACTTTTCAAAGAACATCATCTTACTGGGGCTTAGCAGTGAACAATGGAATATACTATATAGAATTTATGTATCCCCTTCTTCCCTAACTTCCAGTAAAACATTGCCTCACCCTCAGGCGATGAGGAAGTGGGGGCCTCAACTGGTGCGCTGCAGCTGCTTGACCAGCCCCAGACCCCGAGAGATCCTAAAACTTGAGCGTCGAGAGCTCTAGGGGTTATATTGGGTTCTATTGTGATAATGAGAAATGAAATGGAAACTACTACAGTACTTTGGGGTTATATTGGGTTATATTGGGATTAGGAAAAGAAACTGGAAACTACTATCTAGGGTTTAGGGTTTAGGGTGATTTGGGATGAGGATTTGCTGCTGGGCAGCCCCCTGAAAGGTTTGCTGGTTGTTTGATGACGACTCTGACGTTCAGCTTGAGGTTAAAGCCTCTGTACACAGAAAGCTTGAGCTTAGAAATCTCCACGCAAAAGTAGCTAGAGGTTTAGGGTTCTAAAGATACTGGGCATTGAATCCCAATTGTGTTGACAGTAGAAGTGGCCGCAATGATAAGAGTAGCAGCGCAGTAATAGCAACAACAGAAGTAGTCGTAATACTGGTGTGCTAAGATTCTTTGGCCAGAACATTAGTATGAAAGTAGCGGTGTCAGTCAGTCTACGACTACAACTGATGTCACAGAAAGAAGGCCGAAGACGCAATCCGAAACCCAAACGAGCTAGCCCCAAACACAAAAAGCAGGCAGAATGCCGCATCGAACATTTTGCTCCTGCCTATCTGTCTATTTCTGATTGACCCTGGAACCCTAAAGCCTCTGTGTGCAGAGAGACCCAAGGCAGATGATTGGCCAGCGCTGCCTTCTTCCAGGACTGACCGGTGTTTGGCTTCTGGGGTTGAAAAAGGTCAAGGACTGCAAGAGTTAAAGTTTCAGTGGTTTAGGCTTTTTAAGGTGCTTAAGATGCCCAACTCTGCTAGAAGGAATGCCCCCCCCACCGGGGAAGGACGGAGGAGTGATACTGCCACATATGCGGGGGTAGTGCAAGTGGAAGAGGTCCATATGGTCCCTTGCAAGTTTCGGAGAGTTTTAGCATGGGTTTGGGGTTGAAAGTGCAGGAGAGATGAGAAGATCACCTTTAACCAACTTCCCTAAAAGCACATGGAGGCCGGCAGCCCCACGACGCTGGACCGGCCGCGCCGCTGCGCCGCAGGATGCCCTCAGAATGATGAATGACGATTTGAAGTTTTTGGGCGCTGGTTTATTAGATTGTTGGGGGCTTTGGATTTGTTTTTTTGGTGAGTGGGATGTTATGGGTATCCTCACTGACCTCGCACTTGACAACTGCAGATCAGCAGGGGACAGCAAGGGACGGGTAGGGGTTACTGCTTCCTGGTTGTACTACTATAGGGGATTATGCTGATAGTGCCAAACAGTGGTGGTGAGGTAGTGGTTTCAGTCGACATGGCATTCACGGATCACAATTGCAGGGAAAAGGCTGCCAGGCTTCCGTTTGCCGTGTGATTGCCGTACATGTTCTCCGTGGCAGTATTCTGCGTCTTTGGTGCAGCCACATCAGAAAAGTCTGGCTAAAGGTCTCCACAAGAAGAATCTTCGCCTCAGGAACCTAAAAGAACACAGACGAATGATTAGGACATATTACCTTGAGCTGCCTGAAAATGCGGTTGCTAGTTTTGGTTACTTGGGAGAGTTGGATTCTCTGTTGAAGCCCCTTGTTTTTGGATCCATGATAAGCGTACGTTTCATGGGAGGGTAGAGTCTTCAAATTGCAGGATTTCGATAGGCAGCCGTGCTATTAACTTTTCCAACAGGAGCCAGTTTTGGATGAGGATGCCGAGGAGGAAGCAGAAGAAGAGGAGGAGGAAGAGTGGTACGACGAGGAGATGGAGGAGGAGCTCGAAGACTTGAGGGCTCAGATGAGGCCAGTTGCGTTATGAGGAACAAATTCACCTGCGGAGCGTTTCTAAGTTTAAGGCTGAAGCCATCCTCGCGAAGAACGCTGGGACTTACTGTGGCCCTTCTTCTCGGAAATCCTATGCATGGCTAATGTACTGCAGCACACTCGTTTTACTGCGAAGAGGTGCCAGAATTTTGCAAAGCACCCACGGAGTCACTCGGCGGTAAGGTTCAAGGCGCAGCAGCACTTTCGCAGTTTTTCTCGGAGCAAGTCTCCATAGCATTCCCTTAATCTCCGTGTATAAGTCGTTCTCAAGGTGAATGTTCGCTCAGCGTTGTTTTCTTGAAGGAGGAGGGCTGGATCTCGAAGCAAGGGCATGGCCCATGGCCGGTAGGAAGAATCTCAGGGATGTTGGCAATAACCTAGGGCGTAGGTCAAGTGCCTGTGTTGGTATTCAAGTCCGGTTGACCTGACTCTTGCATGGAAACCTGCAGCAACACGTAGTGATATGCTTCAGAGATTTTGTTTGTGTCTCTAGTGGCCGAACTACGGGAGCTTGGTTGATTGCTGAGTGCTTCATCAAGAAGGTTCAATGCAAGCAGGGGTCGAGGGCTAAAGGAGTCCGAAAAGCAGACCGTTTCTTTCGAGCACCGCATCTACCATCTGACTACCTTGTGTCCAGCTGGACGGTAGTACAAGCATCAGTCCAAGTTGCTGGGGGGGGGCGGGTGCCAAAGGGCGGTTTAGGTGTTGTTGTTTGGATCATAGGGGCTTTTGTGCCTGCACAAGTAGGTGGAGCTGTCTTCCACTACCACATGTGATCGCTACCATCGCCAGGGAAATGGAAGAGGAAAACCAGAGACTTCAAGAGGAGCTCGATCAAGAGAAGACGAGGGTTTAGCACCCAGCTGTCACAGAACATGAGGATTTCATGTTCAAGATTCTGGGTCCAGAGAAATAACAGGAGACAACAGCCTCCTTTTTTGAGCTGTCATGGCAGTACCCCAGCAATCAGACTTTACCTGCAGCATACCTGACCAGATTTTGCCCCTTAGGTTTCGGAAGCATACTTCAAGTCCTTGGGAACTTGTAAGGCTTCGTGCTGTCCTCGATGCCTCACCTACGACAAGAACTGCATGTCCAACCAACACGTCAATGTAGTGGATATGAGTGTAGGCCGGTTTTCACCGGGAACTCCCAAAAGGATGTTCCCTAAAGGGTTTCGCCCCAAAGGGCCTCAGGCTTGGAGCACAAGTTGTACGTCATCTGATATTTGTTGGAGGGCGCCGGTAAGACCAATGCCTAGCCAATTCCGTGATACATGTTAGTTAGCTTCAAACAAAAGCGTGGTCTGTACCTTACAGTACGCACCCAAATCCTGAATGTGATGGTAGCCGAGCCATCCGAAAGAGCACAATATATTTGGTAGTTTCCCTAAATAATGGGACCCCAATATAGACCCCAATATACTATAATCCTTATTATGGGGACCCTCAAAATGGTACCCCTAATTTTGGGAAACCCCCATATATTTAGCACTCGAGTTCTACACCCAGAGACCCTTAAAGTCCATGGCCACCTCGTAATGAACCATGAACCAGTTTTAGGGGGTGATGCTGCCCTTAGAAGGATTGATAGTACATTATAGTATAGTATGGTATATTGTAGCATAAATGTAATATATTATACTACAAGATGGTATGTTATAGTATAATATGGTATATTATAGTATAATATAGTATATTCTAGTATAATTGTAGTATACTCATTCGTGGACAAGGACACTGAGAGATGGATTCCCGCCATGGATCCTAAGCGGCTGCACAGCAGCTTTCCAAAGCCTTTTCGGGGAATATATTGCGGTTATATAGGGGTTGTTTAGGGACAATGGAAAAGAAAATGGAAACTACTATAGTATAGAAGGGTTATATAGGGATAAGGGGAAAAGAAAATGGAGACTACTATAGTATATTGGGGTTAAATAGGGATAATGGAAAAGAAAATGGAGACTACTATATCATATTGGGGTGATATAGGGGTTTTTTAGGGATACAGGAAAAGAAAAATGGAAACTACCATTTAGGGTTTAAGGTTGAGGGTTTGGGGTCTCTTTTGACCGCCTGCTATCTGCATTGTTGTTATGTGGCCCATGTGCCATACATGAAACCCCCCCGAGCCTTAGAATCTCTAGCTGGAAATGCCTTGAAGCCTTGACTCCTGGCGACTAAGTTCCCCCGGCTGTGAGCCCTTAAATTAAAGGCTTCAAATTTAGGCCTCTGTATGGCGCCAGAGAACCCAAAAAGGTCTACACGAGGTATAGAAGAACCCAAGATTAGGGCCTAGGGTCCCATGCTTTGGGCCTTAAACTCAAGAACCCTAAGACCTGAGCTTCTAAATCTCCCACCAGAGGTGAAGCAGCTGCAGAAGCTTCAGGTGGAGGCTGCGCAGGCGAGGGCAAGAATTTTAAGAGGATTTGATTCGGAGGTAGCCACTGGGCGATAGGGCAAGAGGGTATCAGATGATTTTGGTCCGACTATGACTTTTCAGAAAACGTGTGGTCCTTTTTCCCGGACCCCGCTTCGTGAGAGGTCCTGACATGCCGTAAACAAAAACCAACGCCCTTGGTTCCTGTTGAGCCTTTGAGGATGGCTTCGATTCGAACAGAACAATGAAAACTCTCTACTCGATACAGCCATACTAAAGTAGGAAGCAGAGTAGGAACAAACGCCGACAGGTTGATATGCAGATGCTTGCGATCCACCTCCCCTGGCTTTCGGTTTTCCGTGGGCAGAGTAGGAATGTAAAGCGACAAACATACTTTTTTGAGAGACTGCGATGCCAGATCCCAACAGGCGAGCCACCGAGAGTTCGAGGCAAAGAAGCGCGAGGCCATAGAAGTGTGAATGGTCGTCTCCACGCGAACAAAAAGTGAAGCATTGGACAGGGAATTACCAAAAAATCGGGTACCTCTGATATTCCCAAAATAATACTGGTGAACAGAGGAGATCTTGTCAGATCTGCAGCCTGCGTCCGTCGCGTAGCATCCTGAGTCAGTAGTCATAATCGAGACTGTGTACTTGGAGCTAGCACTCCCAAATCATTTGCCTCCTCGGTTTGGAATGCCCAGAACCTGGATTTTGCATCATGCCTTTCTGGGGACTGGTGACTGGACTGGATGCACCGAGTCCTTGCTGGTAGGGCCACGGCCCGGCTTCTCCGCTGCCAACAGGGTCGTTAAGTGGGTGTAGCATCCACTCAACTGCTGCCGACTTCTTGACACCTCCACATGGCTCTTGCAAAAGATGGAGCACACGTCAGAACCACTAAATTAGATCTTTTAAACGTTTTGCACGCCCACTTGGGCCCAAGGTAAACAAATTCATGGCTGGGGTGAGGATCCCAAGGCCAGAGGGAGTCTTCCTGAGACCCAGCAAACCCATCAAACTTATCTTCCTGATGATTTTGCTGCGCTCCCCAACCGCACTTTTCGCACTTCATGCAGGCGCATGACTGGTGTTCAGCAGTAAAAAGCCCAGTCATGGCCCCTTGGCTGTGGCTCCTGGACCGCCACCCTCATACGGTCACCTTTGTCGGGTTTGGCAAGGCCCTGGCAAAGCATAGACCCTGTGAGTTTGCTTGACCCATTTTCTTTTGAGTAATAGTCAAAACTCCTTAAAGGGAGATATTCAGGGGGTTGTATGGGGGACTATGATAGGGCTTACTGAGGAGAATACTAGGAGTTTAGACTATGGCTGAAACGCATTTTGGATTCTTGAGACACATTTGCTTTGCCTTGACTGTGTCCGCTGTGCCTGTTGAGCTTTGCCTGAAAGGTGATGCGCGAGCCTGCATCCTTATTATCAAAATTCCTAAACAATCCCGTAACACCCTCTAGACAAACCTAGTTTCCATTTCGTGTTCCATCTTCTTTTCCGTTTGATTCTCCACTATTGGGGTATATACACCCTATATAACCCCTATATAGTCCCTATACATTTTAGTTTCATTTTCGTTTTTCATTTGATTCTCCACTATTGGTACTCTAAACCCCTATACAACCCGTATTAGGAATACATAAGTTTCCACGGACTTTTCCATTCCCCTATATACCACCCATATTACTTCGAGCCCTAGTCCCTAAAACCCCTGAGTCTTGGTTAATAAATTTCCCCAATACCTTCACCCCGCACCACCCCGCCCCAGCAAACAATTTCAAGTCTCATAGGTCCTAAACCCTAAACCCTAACCCTAAACCCTAAATTTCTTTTCAGACCTCTGAAGCAGGCTGCTGCCTTGCGAGAGTTGGAGGAGGCCAAGGCCTATGTCTCCAAGAGGCCATGGCCTGATTTTCTTGGCTCCTGTTTTTTTTTTGTGAAGGGGCGAAATGGGTTCAAGTAGCTCTTATGGCAGATGATTTAGGGGCGGCAGGCAACCAGAGGGCGGTGAGCGTGGACAGGGCACTTGCTGAAGTGTGTGGCCATCAGGGTGTGTGGGATGGGACGGTATGGGATGGCATCGTGCCTGTGCTGTCAGAAGCAATCTGCACAAATGAGCTTCTGGGTAGAAAGATGCCATTCTGTTTCCTACATGATGGCCAAGAACCAAGAAGTGCACACCCTCTACTCTGCACCCGGTTCGCCACGTAGAAGGTTTGCAGCGCCGGGGCAATGAGCCAGATTGCCAAGAAGTGGCGCAATGACAATGATCTCAGATTGTGTGCTCCCTTTCATGTGGGGGTTTCTCAACATTGTGAGACCCCTTTTCCCGGTCCCGGTACTGGGATCCCACTATGGAGGCCTTCATCTTGAGAAACTCCTGCGCCTGCGCTAAACTGTTGAACCCATGATTTATTGTCCCTGGGTTCAGAAATCGCTTTCTGCACACTGTTCGTCAATTTAGGAATCATGCCCTTTCAGGCACACCTTCGCCTTGAATGAGAAGGCCGAGTTGCTCAAGCAGGTTGCGGATCTGGAGCGCAAGTTGCCATGGCCTTGGTAAGTGGGCTCCTGGGTGAGCCTTGAAACATCCTATGATAAAGGG